TTAATATGTTCAACCTTTATTGCTACAAACGCCTTAAAATAAATTTACGCCTTTTATCACAAGCGGCCATATATGTCTCGTAACAGAAACGCCTCAGTTGACAAAACAATATACTGAAAAATAGCAACAATACAACTAAACTTAATTTGAAAACAATAACAAACATATTAAGTTACTAGTAACTTGAGATGATGTTTTTGAACAAAATCGAGCAAGTAAGTCGAAGGGGGATGAGGGTGTTGACGCCTCACCCTGTGTACGATCAAAGTGGAGAATCTGGAAACACGTCGTCCGTACTTGAAACGAGAGGAATAGTAGTGATTCTCGAAGCCATTCTCGACGGTGAATGAACGTCACTTGAAGCGAACCTTGTTTGCGCGATGGCCGCGTTTCTCCGCGGCGTGATTTCCGCGTACGTCGAAGAAACATCGAGCAATTAAGGCCCTTCTTCTGGGTTCGACAGCCACTCACGTCGTATCCTCGATGTTTCCGGAACGCTCGCGAAATTCTTCGCGTCGCTGTCGCGCCTCCTCCAAACATTTTCGCATTTCGGGTCGATTCCTCCGACGTGCGGTTAACACTTGTTTCTCAACTCACTGCACGTTCTTTCTATTACGTCTGCTGTAACCACCGTGTTACAACCGGTGATTATGACGTAGGAAACAAAAGAGCATTTAGAGCCTTGCTACTGGTTGTTCTGTTATTCCCTTTTGTTTCCTCGTTTAACAGAGAAACCTTTAGGAAGGATCGATCGAGAAAATCAAGGAGTTATTGCTTCGCGTAGAGTCAAGAACGTACAAGGGATTGTTTTCTCGCGCACTCTAAGACAAGACTTCTAATCAACAGATTTCCAATTTCCGTAATTGATTTTTTTATATGTACATTAAATGTTGTACATAAAGTTTACAAAGTATCAATATTAATCACTAACAATTAGTATGTGAAGTAACGTCGATAGAGATTTCATCTCGTTTTCATTTCCTTTTTTATTTTTATATAGTCTTTATTATTCCTTATATTGCTCATTTGTAGATATAACAACGATACGAATAATAAAGAGAAAATAAAGAAAACGAATTTCAATTTTTAATTATTAATATTTTTTGTGATGCAATTTTAAAATACAATTTTGGTATAATGATTGTAGACGAATAAAGTTATGTTCTTTTAAAGTATATTTTTTTCTTTTTTTCTTATATCCGTTCTTTTTGTGTAAGTAACTAAAAATGACAATTTTTGAATTATGTCGTTGTGTAGCAAAGGAGCGATGTATTAATTTTTTTATATTCTTTTTCATCTTTTTGTATTTTTAAAGATTCGCAACCAAAAATTAAATCATTGCCATTCTATTGCGACTTTGGACCTGTTGAGCTAGAAACATTTCATAACGAACTGTCGTCGGCCATCCTTGTCATGGAAGCCGCCTTATTACGACGTCGGTATACCACCGCGATACGGCACAGTAACTCGCTTATAATCCGATTTCATTGTTGTGTTGTCGTCGCCGTTGTCGTCGTCGTCGTCGTCGTCACAGCAGTTCGTACAAGCGCGACGTCGTGACTGCAAAAAGGACTCCAGTAAAATTGAGGAGAACGTGAAGGGACATTGGCGAGAGTTGATTTTTAATTCATTCGCGTGTAGTCAAATACTGCCGGACATAACTCGCCAGAGTTCCTCTTATACTTGAGTTAATGCCGACCAACCTTGATGTTTATGAGACAGAAGATAAACTATTTAATTCTCACTGGATTTTCCTATTAAGTATTCGGATAACTTGCTCTACATAAGTTGAAAATAAGTATAAATTGAAAATTCATTGTTTAATTGAATGTACATTACAAAGGATAAACATAACAATATCAACACCTGGAAAATACACTATTTTATTATTTGTTTTATTAATAAGAAATTGGTCTATTATTTGCTTTTAATATATAATATATTCTATACTTGTTGAAATAGTTTTTCAATGCTTGAATAATTATCAATGGAATGTTGTACTATTCTTTCAGTAGAACATTTTTCAATTGCTTATATAAATGATATTGGAGAATGAAATTTTCTTTTCACTCTCTCAATTTCCTAATTGAATAATTACTAATGAAATGTTGTAATATTCTTTTAGTAGAATATCTTTCAACTACTTACATAAATTATGTTTTTATACTCCAAAATTACCCTTTATTCTCCAAAACCAATATCTAATATTTTTCCTGTCCAGACAATCGCCTTTAAACATTTTTGTACGTAGTTTTGAAGAGCAAAGTGAAAAACAGATTTTCTCCTCCAGTATCTTTTGAGCAATTATAAGATTCTGCTAGAAGATTGCACTGTAGTAGTTGATACACTATTCATGTATGACTTCCA